GCAGGCTCGGCGCCTGTGGCTCAACCGGCTGGGGCGCCAGCCACGTACACCTAAGGTGGCGGGTTCGAATCCCCAGCCCGGGCCCGCCAAAACAACAATGACGGCTGCAACCAAAAGGTGGCTGGGCGTTGTGGCGGGTGCCTGTGGTCCCAGCTACTTGGGAGGCGGAGGCAGGAGACTCGCTTGAGCCCAGGAGTTGGAGGTTGCTGTGAGCTGTAATGCCACGGCACTCTACCCAGGGGGACAGCTTGAGGCTCTGTCTCAAAAAAAAAAAAAGACCCAAATCTGCAGATCCAAATTCTGAGTCCAGGTCCTTCCTCAGACACTGCTGACTTCTCTGACCTCCGGAATTTTTTAAGTACCAACAAACTGTGTCATGTTTCAAGATTGTGATTGGTGGTCTCCTTGAACCAAATGTATTTGTGTTGTTACAAAGTGTTGAGCAGAAGGGACTTTGTGCTGTGTTTGCTTTCTCCACTTGAGTGGAGTAATAGCAGGAATAGAGGGAATTGTTAAAGAAGCCACTTCATAGACTCACTCAAAACCTGCAAAATTTTAACTAAACCCAAGTTTGATTAATCACTCCTCAAAAGTCAAAGTCACAACGCAAGAGTTGGTGGAACAAAAAGTAGTTTATTCAAGAGCACCATGAGCAGATGGCTGATTAATGTTGCAAAGACCACCTGATGTTTCTTAGCTGACCAAAAGATGGTTAAAGGGGAAAGGAGCTTGGGAAACTATGCGTAGAACCTTTCTCTGTGGAGGTCTAGATGTCTTCTTGAAATAGTTTCTTGCCATCTGGCAATCTGACTGACATAAGCTAGACCAAAACAGAAATGAGGGTTAAGTGCTCACAGTTTTCCTTCATGGGAGTTCTGCAATCTTGGTTCAAAAACCTTGAAATTTTCTTTTTTTTCTTTTTTTGAGACAGAGTCTCACCTTGTCACCGTCCATAGACTGCTGTGGAATCATAGCTCACAGCAACATCAAATTCCTGGGCTCAAGCCATTTTCTTGTCTCAGCCTTCTGAGTAGTTGGGACTTCAAGCATCCACAACAGTACCCAGCTATTTTAGAGACAGAGTCTAACTCCTGCTGAAGCTGGTGAGCTCAGCCAATCCACTTGCCTCTGCCTTCCAGAGTGCTGGATCTATAGGCGTGAGCCATGAGGCCAGACTTCTTCCTGAAAATCTTAAGCAAGGACATAAATAAGTACTGTATTAAAAAAGTGATTATTACCTTGAAGATAGAGTAACTACTGCTGTTGTAGAGTCACATACTCAGAGTGGGCATAATACAAAATAACATGTATGCATATTAAAGCCTGAGAAATGATGCTTAGCTAAGTGATCCTCAGCCAAGGCTTCCAGTTAGGATTTCATGGCCGTTTTGAGGAAGTATCATCATCTGTGATTCTGCCTGTATACGGATTCTATTAGTCTGGGTTGTGTCATTCATGTGATTTTAATTAAATTCCCCCAAGTGATGCTAAAATTAGGCCAGTGTCAAGCAAGAGGGTTTCCAGACACATTTAAGATAGCTGAGTTTATTTTTTTCCAGAAAGAGATCACAGGACCCATATTCCCATTTCCATAGCAGAAATTGCTGGCAGGGGAGGACACTGGAGGCCAAGAAATAAACTCATACTTGGGTCTTTATGTGGAACCTCCTTCCTGATTTTCTTCTCTGATAAAGAACAGGAAAGGGTGGAATTTTTTCTGTAGTTCAGGGTCCCTCCCCCTGTGGATATAGTGGCAGCAGGTGAAGGGGTTGTGCTGATGCCTTAAAGTCCATATTATCAAGATGCAGGCAGAATATGTCCAGGTAATCTAACCTGAGAAGGAAATCCAGGGAAGGAGAAAGAGAAAGAAATGTTTGCTTCCTCAGGTAAATGTGTCCAAGGGCTGTGCCTACTTTTTCTCTTGCAGTATCAGGTTCTTAGAATTTGCAAACCTTTACATCTCTACTTGTGATGTTCCTACCTAATGAGTTTGTTTTAAATACTCTTTTGCCCGTCTTATAATAGTAAAGAGGCTCTGAAAAATCCTTCTTCCCTACCTATAAAGCAGAGTCTTCTCTCCATCCAGGCTTCCCATATGCCCTGCAAAATTCCCACTGTAAATTCATGTTCTACAAAAAACAATACATTGTATAATACTGAAAATGTTCCTTTTGTGCCTTTTGAAAATGGAAAAATGTGGCTACCTAAGATTCCCTTTGTGGATGAGGTTGGGTCATTGGATATTAGCAAAGAAGGGGAATATGTACTGTTTATGTTAGATCTAGGCTAAAGTAGAAAAATACCAATTAACTCCTGACAAATTCCTGGGCTGCAAGCCCTCAACAAAATGGAATAATTCTGCTTCACTCCGAAGATAGATGAGAAAGTACTCACTAACTTCTTGCTAACTAACTCCTGGGGCTGGGAAACGAACTGACAATCCTCAGACTGACCTTTAAACAATGCCAGGTGGAGGATGGCACCTGTGGCTCAAAGAGTAGAGCTCTGGCCCCATATATAGGGGGAGGAGAGAAGTCCAGCCACAGCCAAAACTGCAAAAAAAAAAAAAAAAAAGCCAGGTGGAAAGAATACTGAGACAAAGATGTATGGAGGAAAGGTACTGGAACTAAGATGTATGGGAAAATATTAAAACAAAGATGTATAACGTATAGCTAACTAACCACAAAATTCTGCTTCTGTACAATGCTTGCTTGCTAAACACCACCCTCCCCCCCATGCACCTGCAGGCCAACCAGGATGCAGACTAACCCTTAAAAACCTGATTCCGTAGGCACTTGGGGCTGCTCTTAGAAACCCAATGTTGGGACACTGAGGCAGTCGCCAGCTGGCTCTTCAATAAAAGGAGTCTGCTGTCAATTTGGCTTGTTTGGCAGTGTGGTCTTTGTAGAACTCCTGGGTACTACATTTAGGTTCCATCTGGAAGTTCCATCAGCTCTGTGTAGGAGAAGATGAAGTACATGCACTTTTCTTTATTCTGTTTTATTGAGACAGAATCTCACTTTGTCACCCTTGGTAGAGTACCATGGTGTCATGGCTTACAGCAACCTCCAACTCTTGGGCTCAACCTCCAACTCTTGCCTCAGCCTCCCTAGTAGCTGGGACTACAGGTGCCTGCCACAATGCCTGGCTACTTTTTTTTATTGTTTAACAGGCCCGGGCCAGTTTCGAACCCACCAGCCCCGGGGCATGTGCCTAGAGCCCTAACCACTGAGCAATAGGCTCCCAGCCCTAGCACCATGCACTTTTAAAGAACATGGCATTAACTTGCTAAAGTAACTCAAAGTTCTGCATACCAGAATAATTAGAAAAGACTTGCTTTCTAGGATGCTAAAAATGACTATTTAAAGACACGATTAGAGATTAGAAAACATGACAGATATTTGTACCTTAGACTTTCTTTTTTTTTTTTAAGACAGAGTCTCACTATGTCACCCTCGGTAGAGTGCTATGGCATCACAGCTCACAACAACCTGAAACTCTTGGGCTTAAGCAATTCTTTTGCCTCAGCTTCCCAAGTAACTGGGACTACAGGTGCCTGCCACAATGCCCAGCTATGTGCCTTGGACTTCCTAAAACATTGTGTTTTTTGTTAAACTGATATTTATCAGATTATGATTTACTTTCTTCTGGCTAGTACTATCACAGCAGTGATGTTTTTGCATTTATGAATCAGCACCTGATGCTAATTTGTCCTGTTACAGTTGATGTTAAATTTATTCACTCAGTTATGGTGTTCTTTGACACATACTCCATTACAGAATTCGGTGTATTTCTCTTTTTTTTGAGATAGTCTCAAGCTGTTGCCCTGGGTAGAGTGCCATGGTGTCACAGCTCACAGCAACCTCACACTCTTGGGCTTAAGTGATTCTCTTGCCTCAGCCTCCCAAGTAGCTAGGACTACAGGCGCCCACAGTGCCCAGCTATTTTTTTTTTTTTAGTTGTAGTTGTCATTGTTGTTTGGGAGGCCCAGGCTGGATTCAAACCTGCCAGCTCCAGTGTATGTGGCTGGTGCCCTAGCCACTGAACACAGGCACCAAACCTCGTCTATTATTAGTGAGTATTTTGGAGAGATTATTGACTAATGTGACAAGCCAAAATATTTATTGAAGAAGTGCTCCTTTCTTCTTAGATTCTCTTTCATATACCTTGCTTTGGAAAGTAAAATTTGTCATCTTTGCTTACTCATTCAGAAATCAACTGGGATAAATCCAGTGTCTATAGTTAACTGCCTGTTTGACAAAGTATTATCATGGAATAAAACATTGGCATTCCCGTTGAGCTTATTTATAATTTAGAAATTGAGGTGGTGCCAGTAGCTCAGTGGGCAGAGCACCCACCACATACACCGAGGCTGGTAGGTTTGAACACAGCCCAGGCCAGCTAAAACAACAATGACAACTGCAACAACAACAAAATAGCCAGGCATTGTGGCAGGTGCCTGTAGTCCCAGCTACTTGGGAGATTGAGGCAAGAGAATTGCCTAAGCCCAAGATTTGGAGGTGGCTGTGAACTGTGATGCCACAGCACTCTACCCAGGGTGACAGCTGGAGACGCTGTCTCAAAAAACAAAGCAAAACAAAAAAATAATAATTTAGAAATTATATCTTCACTCCGTGTGTTCTGAATAAAAATCTGCATTTTATCGAGATCAGATCCAATTCCTTCTTGTACACATTAAAATTTTAAGGTACTGTTTAACTCACCATGACATTTGCATATAAAAATATACATAACTTATACTGTATCATGTAAATAAGGCAAAAAGTATACATGCCTGTACTGGTGGCCTTTCATTTCTACTGTGTTGACTAAAAGAGTATACTGTCTACACTGGTTTATAATTCCAGTCACTCATATAAGTTAGCACGGGTTCTCTTCACTCATTTAACTAAAAATGAAATTCAATCTCCCCTTGGCTTCTTGGTAAATATGTTTTTCAGGGACTGTTGACATTCAAAGATGTGTCTATAGAATTCTCTATGGATGAGTGGGCCTGCCTGGACTCAGCTCAGCGGAATTTGTATTGGGATGTCATGTTCAAGAACTACAGAAACCTGGTCTTCCTGAGTGAGGATAACTGAAATACACAGTTCCCTAGTCTACACTAAGCATTTCATATTTTCTCTTTGCAGAATGGTTTGATGGAGTTTCCTCTTTGACTGCATTACTTTCCAATTCTTGTTTCTAAGGAAAACTTAAGAACTTCTTTACACAGAAAAGAAAATATTGGAGATGCTTTATTTTGGCATTAATCTTACTTTTTTTTGAGCTAATTTACATCCCTCACTGGATTAATGGTAATTTCAGAAATTTAGTGGCATCCATTGTTACCCATAGCTTTAGGTCTGATTTCTAGGATCAAATTTTGTTTCAATAGTACTGCACATTGGAGTTAAAAATCTTCCAACTTGGGTGGCACCTGTGGCTCAAAGGAGTAGGTTGCTGGCTCTGTATGCCGAAGGTGGCGGGTTCAAACCAAGCCCCCAGCCAAAAACTACAAAAAAAAAAAAAAATTCCAACTTTAAATACTTTTTTTTTCCTTAGAGACGGAGTCTCACTTTATTGCCCTCAGTAGAGTGCTGTGGTGTCACAGCTCACAGCAACCTCCAGCTCCTGGGCTTAGGCGATTCTCTTGCCTCAGCGTCCCAAGTAGCTGGGACTATAGGAATCCTCCACCACAACGCCCAGTTATTTTGTTGTTGTTGTTGGCCTGGGCTGGGTTTGAACCCACCACCCTCAGGTACCGCCCCCAACTTTAAGTACTTTTTAAAGATTCTAAAGTTTCTATCAGGAAGCTCTATTTGGAGATTATTATTTCAAGATTGTCTAAAATGTTCTTTTCTCTACTTTAGCAAGGTAATACATTGCCAGTTGGAGATGCCCAACAAGTGTCATGTTTCCTTTTTCTAATAAAACAGGTTTTGCTGTCTCTAAGCCAGACCTCATCACCTGTCTAGAGCAAAGCAAAGAACCCTGGAAGGTGAAGACACATGAAACAGTAGTCAAGCACCCAGGTAGGTTGGAGTGAATGAAACAAGTAGCACTGGTGAGAAGTCCAGAACTCAAGTAGAAAGCCCAACAATAAGATGTGATTACGGAAGTCAGCTCCATGGAAAAGATTTCTTAGAAGTTAAGGTTTCTTTCTATTATTTTTACTTAAGGGTACCTCTGTTCCTATTCTTATTATTTTTTAGTTTTTTTTTTCTTCCTTCCTTCCTTCCTTTCTTTCTTTCTTTCTTTTTTTGAGATAAAGTCTCACTATGTTGTTCTTGGTAGAGTGCTGTGGTGTCACAGCTCACAGCAACCTCCAACTCCTGGGCTCAAGCGAGTCTCCTGCCTCAGCCTCCCAAGTAGCTGGGACCACAGGCACCCACCACAACACCCGGCTATTTTTTGGTTGCAGCCGTCATTGTTGTTTGGCTGGCCTGGGCTGGATTTGAACCTGCCACCTTAGATGTATGTGGCTGGTGCCTTAGCCACTTGAGCCACAGGCCCCGGACCTTAATTTTTTATTTTTTAAATAACTATCCTTATTTAATGTCTGTCATGTGATTGTGACATTTAGTCCATTAATATTTACATAACTTTTGAAAGAGAAGGACTTCCTTTTGACAATTTATTAGCTGTTTTCTTTGATTCTTTCACCTATTTTTCTCCCCTCTATCTTCTTTTGTGTCTCATTGATTTGTGTAGTAACATGCTTTGCTTCTTGTATAATTTGAGTGTGTGATTATAGGTATTTTTATTGTTACCTGGAAATTCTCACTTTGTCACCCTCGATAGAGTGCCATGGTGGCACAGCTCATAGCAACCTCCAGCTCTTGGGCTTAGGCGGTTCTCTTGCATCAGCCTCCCAAGTAGCTGGGACTACAGGTGCCCACCACACTGCCTGGCTATTTTTTGTTGCAGTTTGGCCAGGACCAGGTTTAAACCCGCCACTTTGGGCATATAGGGCCAGCGCCCTACTCACTGAGCCACAGGTGCCACCCTACACAGTTTTTTAAAAGTTCTTCTTTTTTACATCTGCACTCAATTGTTATTGACATCAGTAATTACATCTTGTTGATTGTACCTGTAGACCCATTACCAGAGGTTTAGTGCTAACTTTCCCTTTTTCTCTTTGAGCTCTAAAGCAAGTGTTTTGTGCACCATCATTATAATGATATGGAATTTCACATAGTTGTACTTAGTTACTTTTCCCAGAGTTATTTGTATTTGCATAATTTAGTATTGTTGTCTAAAATCATTTCATCTTCAATGAAAAGGGCTTCCTTTGACAGTTCTTGTGTGGCAGCTTTTAGCATCTACTTTTCTTGATAAATATTTATTTTTTTTCTTCATTTTGAAAGTTTTGTTGGATATCATGTATGTGCTTTGAAGTTTTTGTTCTTTCAGTACTTTGACAATATTACCCAACTCTTTTTTGATGTGGAAGGTTTATTTTGATAAATCCACTAGTAATCTCATAGGAGCATACTTAGAGATGACACATCTATTATCTTTTGCTGCTTTCAAGATTCTCTTCTTGTGTGTGGCTTTGAAATCCTTGGTCTTCATCTGTCTTGTTATGAGACTCTTTGTGTCTCCTAGCTGAACTATGGTGAGCATCTTTTTTTTCTTTTTTTTCTTAGGACACTATTAAAATTTGCTTTAATACATCTTTGGGGGAAAACATACCATACTTTTAGTATGACCAGAAATATTTCACAGTGGTAAGAGGCTATTACTTTTAGTATCTATTCTGCCATGAATTCATAGGGAAAAGGTTCTAGTAGGGTGGCACTTTGCCATTGACTGTGACAAAGTGTTGTATTACTACTATGCCATGAATTTATGGGGAATAGGTTCCAGCATTTTATATCACTGTTACATGGGATCTGTTGGTTATCCTGTGTGCTATGAATTCATGCCACCTACTCACCTATTATGCCATGAATTCATGTAGAATAAATAAGTTCCAGCACCTAATATCATGGTTCCATTGGTTCTCCTGTGTGCTATGTTATATGGCTATTATGCCATGAATTCATAAGGAATGGGTTCCAGGAGCTCAGGCTCCTTTCCATTGGTTCTCACAAAGTGGGCTTCTCTGGGTGGAGCAGGCTGGCACTTCCGCTTAACCCAGGTACCTTTCTCTTTGACGTCCTTCTTTTTCTGATCAACTTCCTTCACACATTTCAGGAAGCTATCTCAGCTCTAAGAGTGCTTAATATGCTCAATATAAACATTAATTCTCTTGGCAAGATCTTGCCCTTAACTTATTTGTTTACAACAATGCCAACAGCATGCTGGGTAACATTGTAGAATCTTCCAGTTTTGCCATGGTCACATTTGTGTGGCATGACTTTTTGAACAGTACCCATTCCCTTGATGTCTACAATATCACCTTTCTTATAGATTCTGATATATGTGGCCAAAGGGAAAATTCCATGTTTTCTAATAGGCCTGGAGAACAGGTATTGGGTACCTCTCCTCTTTCCCTTTCTTTTTGTTATTTTGGTGAATTACTGAAAGATGGTGTCTCTGACCAAAAGGTCCTTTTTTTTTTCTTTGAGACAGAGTCTCACTATGTCACCCTTGGTAGAGTGCTGTGGCGTTGTACCTCACAGCAGCCTTAAACTCTTGGGCTTAAGCAATTCTCTTGCCTCCATCTCCCAAGTAGCTGGGACAACAGGCACTATTGTATTTTTTTGTTGTAGTTGTCATTGCCTTTTAGAGGCCCAGGCCGAGTTCGAGCCCAGCAGCTCCAGTGTACGTGGCCGGTGTCCTAACCACTGAGCAATGGGTGCCGAGACAGTATCTTGATATTTTATATCTTTTTTCTTACATTTAAGACTTCTCATTTTTACTGTGTTCTTCAACTTCAGAATTTCTGTTTATTTATGCTTTTATTTTTCTTGATATCTTCATTTTTCTGTTTTTACTTAGTTGTATGATTCCCATTTTACCCATTTAGCATTATTCAGATAAACATTTAAGGTTTATTACATCTCTATTTTTTTATTTTTTTGAGACAGAGTCTCAGGCTTTCACCCTGGGTAGAGTGCTGTGGCGTCACAGCTCACAGCAACCTCAAACTATTGGGCTTAAGCGATTCTCTTGCTTCAGCCTGCAAGTAGCTGGAACTACAGGCCCGCCACAATGCCTGCTATTTTTGTTGTTGTTGTTGCAGTTGTCATTGTTTTTATAGCTGGCCCAGGCCGGGTTCAAACCCACCACCCTCGGCGTATGTGGCCGGGGCCCTATCCACTGAGCTACAGGCGCCACCTGACATCTATTTTTTATGGTTGATTCCAGATTACTTATTTTGCTTCTTTGTGTTATGTCTCCCTAATATCTTGTACATGTTGTAACCTATTGTTGCTTTTTATGAATTAGAAAAGCCACCTTTGGCTTGGTGCCAGTAGCATAGTAATGCGCCAGCCACATGCATTGAGACTGGTAGGTTTGAGCCCAGCCCAAGCCAGCTAACCAACAATGATGACTGCAACAAAAAAATAGTCAGACATGTGGCAAGTGCCTATAGTCCCAGCTATTTGGGAGGCTAAGGCAAGAGAATCGCTTACACCCAAGACTTTGAGATTTCTATGATGCCACAGTACTCTACTAAGGGTGACATAGTGAGACCTTGTCTCAAAAAAAGAAAAAAAGAAAAGCCACTTTTCACAAAGTTTGTGATATGGCTTTTTTTTCTTTCCTTTTTTTTTTTTTTTTTTGAGACAGAGACTGACTTTGTCACCTTTGATAGATTGCTGTGGCCTCACAGCTCACAGCAACCTCCAGCTCTTGGGCTTAGGCAATCCTTTTTCTTCAGCCTCCTGAGTAGCTGGGACTACAGACACCCGCCCTAACACCCGGCTATCATTTTGTTCCAGTTTGGCCGGGGCCAGGTTTGAACCCACCACCCTCAGTATATGGGGCTGGCACCCTACTCACTGAGCCACAGGCACCACCCTGTGATATGGCTGTTTAATGCAAGACTGACACACATTGTACAAAGAAAGCAAGGACCTTTACATTCTGACTGTGTTTTGCCTGTAGAATTGTGTGGTTAGTTTTTAGTTGAAGCATTTTCCCACATTTCCTCTTAAGAGCTTCTCATCACTTGCTAGGCCTGAATCTGTCTGTCGTACTCTAGTCCTTCTGCTGCTGTAACAATATGGTACCTTTGGTTTCAGCACCTCTGGTCTGTCTTATAAACTATAGCACCATTTCTTTCAGCACCCTTACTCATAGGAGACACCAGCCTTTGTTTGAAAAGGCCCTGAAACAAGAAGGATCAACACTGGTGTCACTATTTTTGTTTTGGGGACAAAGCTGAAATTTATAATTTTACTTGGATATGCACCATCCTGTCTTAAGATGGGATAAAGTCAGTGGTGAGTAAATATGACAAACTTTTTTTCATTCTATTTGGCTCTTTTTATTATTATTTACTAATTTTTTTCATACACACACAGAGATTTGTTTGGAACCCAGTTTCTGTCACCTTTGGTAGAGTGCTGTGTTGTCATAGCTGACAGCATCCTCAATCTTCTAGACTCAAGAAATATTCTTCCTTTAGCCTCAAGAATTGCTGGGACTATAGGTATGTGCTACTATGCCCATCTAATATTTCTATTTGTGGTACAGATGGGGTCTCACTCTTTTTTTTTTCTTTTCTTTGAGACAGAGTCTCACTTTGTGATTTTCTCGAGTCAGCCTCCCAAGTAGCTGGGACTATAGGCGCCCACCACAACACCTGGCTATCTTCAGAGATGGGGTCTTACTCTTGGCTTAGGCTGGTCTTGAACTCATGAGCTCAAGCAATTAACCTACCTTGGCCTCCCAGAGTGCTAGAATTACAGTTGTGAGCCACCACACCCAGTCTGGTGTCTTAGACTTGCTCTGATTGCTCTTGAACACATGTGCTCAATTGATCCATTCACCTCAATCTTTCAGAGTTCTGGGATTACAAACATAGGCCAATGCACTCAGCCTCTATGTTGGCTCTATAACTTCTGCTGATCTGTTGTGCTACAAATTCTTTTTTTCTTTTTCTTTCTTTTCTTTTTTTTTTTTAGGCAGAGTCTCACTATGTCACCCTTGGTAGAGTGCTATGACATCATAGCTCACAGCAACCTCAAACTCCTGGGCTTCAGCAATTCTCTTGCCACAGTGTCCCAAGTAGCTGGGACTACTGGTGCCCACCACAACCTTTAGCTATTTTTTTGTTGCAGTTGTCATTGTTCTTTAGCTGGCCCAGGTCAGGTTCAAACCCGCCACCTTTGGTGCATGTGGGCTGGAGCTGTAACCACTGTGCTACTTGCGCCGGGCCTGTGCTGCAAATTGTTACCTGGTTTTTAGAATTCCCCCAAATGGAGTGTATATATGCAAAATTTATTTATCTTTAAGATAATTAGTACATCTTCCTAATGTTATTGGCATAACTTTGCAGATAAAATATGTAATGTATATTTACTCAATTCTGATAAAAAGTAAGTGGCTAAAACTTTTATTGTTTAACTTTCTTTCAGCTATATCTAATCATTCTACCCAAGACCATTTGCAAGAGCTAGGCACAAATACTTTATTCCCAGAGATGATCCTGAAAAGATATCAAAGCTGTGGCCCTGAGAATTTAAACTTAACAAAACATTGGGAATCTGTGCATGAGTGTAAGCAGCAGAAAGTATATTTCAGTGGACTTGACCAATGTTTAACAGCTACCCCTGGCAAAATCTTCCAATGTAGTAAATGTTTGAAAGTCTTCAGACAGTTGTCAAGTCTAAACAGACATAAGATGATATATACTGTAGAGAAAACTTTTAAATGTAAAAAGTATGAGAAAGCCTCTAACGCATGCTCACACATTACTAAACATAAGATAATTCATATTGGAGAAAAACAGTACAAATGAAAAGAAGGTAAAAAAGTTTTCAAACCCTGCTCAAGCCTATCTAAGCCTAAGAGACTTCGTAATGGAGAGAAACTCTGCAAGTGTGAAAATTATAACAAGTATCTTTGCCACAGATCAAAATATTGTAATCATAAGGATATTGATACTGGAGTAAAACTCTATAACTATAAAGAATATGACAAACTTATCAACTCACATCTTTCTGGACATAAAAGAATTCATTCTAGAGAAAAACCCTACCAATGTCAAGAATGTGGCAAAGCCTTTAAGCATTACACAAGCCTTTCTGTACATAACAAAATTCATTGTGAATTCTTCACACATACGTGAAGAATGTGGCAAAGCATTTAACCATAGTTCAACCCTTTGAATACATCAAAGAATTCATTCTGGAGAGAAACCCTACAAATGTCAACAATGTGGCAAAGCCTTTAACCAGTACTCAAACCTTTCTAGATATTAAAGAATTCATTCTGGAGAGAAACCCTACAAATGTCAAGAACATGGCATTAGTTCAACCCTTACTGAATATCAAAGAATTCATTCTGGAGAGAAACCCTACTAACATCAAAAATGTGATAAAGCTTTTAACCTTAGTTCAACCCTTACTAAATATCAAAGAATTCATTCTGGTGAAAAACCCTACAAATGTCAAGAACATGTCACAGCTTTTAACCAATACTCACACTTTTCTGTGCATCAAAGAATTCATTCTGGAGAGAAACTCTACAAATGTCAACAATGTGGCAAAGCCTTTAATCAGTATTTGAAACTTTGTAGACATATAAGAATTCATTCTGGAGAGAAACCTTATAAATAGGGACAGTGTTGCAAACCCTTAAACTCACATCAAAACCTCACTGTATAAAAGAAATCATACAGAATAGAAACCTTCCAAATATGAAGAATGTGGAAGAACCTTTACCTGGTATTTATAACTTGCTAAGCATAAAAGCTTTCACATTGGAGAGAAATTGTATAAATGGGAACAGTGTGTCAATGCCTTTAACAGGAGCTCATACCTTATTATACATAAGTATTCATATCGGTGAGAAATCTTACAGAAGCAGATAGTGTGGCAAAGGATCTGGTCTTCAGCCCATGAGAAATCCTACCAGAGAAATATAACAATATGAAGATTTGGCAAAGTCTTATGGCAGTAGTCACATTTTCCATACACAGTAGAATACAAGTTGAAGAGAAACACTACAAATATGAAGAACTTGACAAGTGTTTAACTTGTGCTCAAACCTTTCTACATATGAAAAATTTATAACAGAAAAAAACTTCAACAAATGTAAAGAAAGTGTTGAATCCTATAACCAGTACTCATACTTTTCAGTACATAACAGAATTCATAGAGAAATATTTCTTATACTTTTCTAATCACAATTCATATGGACAAAATACTTGACAAATGTCAATCATGTCTCAAAGCCTTAAAGTTGTGTTTATCCTGTTAGGTAGGGCTAAGGAGAGACAGGGGCAGATGATACTAGGAGATCCTTTGTCCATACTAAAAGGAACAAATTGACCAGAAAGGGATTCCAAGAAAGAAAAGCTGGCATTTTAAAAAGGCTTCCCAAAATGGAAATAATGTTTGCTCTACAAAATGAGTCTCAGGGAGGGGCGGAGCCAAGATGGCGAACTGCAGCCAGCTTTTTGCAGAAGCTCCCATCCAGAAG